ATACATATTTTCACCCTTCGATTTATTTTCAATGGTATTGGCCGTAAACTCGTATTTATTTTTAGGGGAATGAATTAAAGTAATTTATAGCGGTAGAATTCAACATTTTATTTTATTTATTTATTTATTATTGCAATTTATACTTGCATGAATAAATCCACGAAATTTCACAATCAGTAAAAAGTCAGTACAAAAAGGGAAACATTGCAAATAAAAGCTAGTACACATAAGTCTTAGAAATAATTTATTTCAAACAGCTTAACTAAAACATGGTAATAATGACACTTCATGAAGATAATGCAATCAAGTGTTGCAATAAATATTTATCATAGTGATATCTAAAGTAAAGAAATAATTGAAGGATCATTCGAAATGAAATAGAAATAAAAATCAAATGAATAGAGAGTTGGAACGATAAAATTAATTTTGAAAATTGATTGCTATAAACAAAAATCGTTTAATTTATTGAAACGTAAAGGTTCAGGTACCTATATTAAGAATCGCGTACTATTTTCCCAATATTCCATCGCGTGCACAAATATTTTTGTAACCTTGCTCGTTCTAAATGAATTATCCTACGGTGATAAAAGTTTCCAATGTATCTCCTGTCTTTTCTTTCCTCGTCCCCGTTTTTCCTTCGCGCTGCACGCGACTACAGTCATCCTTCTTCATCAAGACCTTGCGAAATCGTGACGAATTAAGTGTATTTTCTACACCTGTGCCCACGTACCAGAGATTCCGGCGTGTCGGAGTTATTATCACGAAACGCCACGTCTTATAATTGCGTAAAATTGGCCCAGCTGCTGTGTAGCTGTGCACACTTTACGACTGCTTTAACAGCGGACGCCAAATATTTTCGCGACAACGACGTCTTGGGGTGGTCACGTCCCGCCAATTACGAAATCATAACGAAGAGCACCCGAATGTGTCATTTTATCGTGCCAATCATCGACGATAAGCGAACGCGTATCGTGCAGAGCATACTGGAAGTCCTTTGTATCATCCACTGCATCAGATAAGCTGATAACGTGTCAGCAAATAAATCTTTGTATTCTCGAAGTTGAAATGAAATATTGTTTTGTTTCAATATTTAACCGTTAAAGCAAATGTAGATCCGCATATAATACAATTTTCATTTGTCTTCTGACATAATACGATTCATAAGGAAATCATGAAACAGAAGATAGGTGGAAAATCATAGGAAACAATCAGTATTTGTTGTATTTAAGTTCTTTTCAAACTATAAATCATTTCTAAACTTTAACAGGATATGCAGATATTTTATGAAAAGTGATTCGAAGCTATACAACTGCGCCATTTTGTGATATTTTGGCTTAGAAAAAATATAAATATAAAGGAGGTCACATTTATATGACAAGTTTTCATTCAATGGTTAACAAATAAATTCCTAAAGTTTACCTACGTTTAGAACGTCTCTAGGTGTCCCCCCTTTTCGAACAATATCGCGCAACCCCTGACGGTCCTTATCATTGCGCAACTATACGAGTAACGCGTTCATCGGGCAGCGAGTGTAATCATTAAAAAGCTTCCCGCCTTTCGCGCACGGACAATTTCTGCCTCTGAAACTCCAGAACAAAACAGTTTCCGAATAATGCATTGGTAAACCGGGTTCCAGTTTCACGGCGGTCCTGCCCGGGGAAAAAAGTTCGCCGCGGCGCTGCGCCGGGGCCGAAAAACGCGGAAAAAAAGGAGATCGGTCCGCGGAATGGAACACGAAAATGCGCACTGTCAGCGGCAACGCGAATATAGCTTTGGGCGCGTACAAATTTTCGTTTTCCGGGGCAGCCGCGATTCGTAGCCAGTTAAGGGAGCATGCGACTTTGGGAATCAAAAGTGAATGAGTGATTTTAATATTTTCCTTTTCTTATGTATAATCGATAGGCAGCAAAGATTTTTGCGAAAAATATCAAATGTATTAGCTGTGTATTCGTGTTCTTTTTGTTACTTAAAATTATCAAAAATTTTCAGTATTGTTGCTTTTTGTGCTCGAAAGTTCTCTTTCGTGTACTCGTCGTTTCTTAATCTGTCAATGAACAGCTGTTGAAAATGTAAGTTTCTAATGATACTGTCCGACTTACCCTACAAGGCGTGACCACAAGACAACAGATTCAACCCCCAATTTCATTGGACGAAAATATTTCCCGCATTCAACGTGCACATGAAACAGTACACACCCTCGTCTCCACAATCAGTATAAGACACGCTCGATTGTAGAAATTAGTTAGAGTTTATCGAGACAGCGATATCACAGTATCATCATAGCATTAGGACAAGCGTTATCAACAAGAAAATAAAGGGACACAGTCCGATAAATCAAGCCTTGTCAATTATTTAAAACTTGGTACGCCAGTGTGACCAAGTTACAAAAACTATCTCATCTTACAAACCAGATAGATAAAATAAACATCTTTGGTCCATTGACCTATATTACACATTAACAGTCATTGTTGAAATCACTCGAATCAACTTATTCTCTAAGCGTAATCTGTCAATATAATATAAAATTACCAGACCAATCAACTTGATCCACTTCAGAATGTTTATTTCGCAAGCATTTAAATTATAAAGGCGTCACGAAAGATTTTAAATGAAATTTTCGTCCATTGACCTATATTATACATTAACGAATAGTGATATCGATGACCTACGAATGGGGGATAGCGGTATGTAGCAAAAGTAATACACAAAAGAAGTCGGACGTAGAACAACGCACAGTAGTACCCGCAGTGTTGCGTTTTATTAATTAAAGGCGGTGCACGCGGACGCATTTCGACGGAACACGGCGGCCATCTGTTATGTCCGTTAATTTCTATAATGTCCGCCAAGCAGCGGCGAATGTAAAGCAGGGGTACACGTGGACCGGAATACGTACGGCGGAACGAAATTCGAGCCGTTTTGCGTACGAATAAAGTCGCCGCTCGTAATTGTAATGCAAGCTGCAAAATCACGTAATCCCTTTGTCGGCGCGATCCGCGTATGAAAATTTGCATTCCGGCCGCATCTACGGAATTAGATGCGTTCAATCGAATTCGCGAATCAACCCTTCCAGCCAACCCTTCCCTCCCCCCGGTTCCTCTCGCACGTACACAAACACACTCTCAGGTCGTCACCCTATCGATCTTTAACTACGTGACAATTATTTGTCGAGTGCGCTGGTAATGACGAACGGAATTTATTTCGGTCGTGCCGGTTTAATTAACTGAACGTGCGGGTACACGCCTTTTGTATTGTTTGTTGTAGACGTCGACCGTGTGCGATGTGATTTAGATGAACTTTTTCGATGGGGTTAAACTTATTTTCTATGATAAAGCGAAAAATTCTAAATGGAAATGATAACTTGACTGCTGGTGTTTGGTGTCGCCTGTTTTAATCGATTGATATTTGACGAATGGTAACCTGGAAATGGTACAGCAGTGTTATTATGTATAATTTAAAAATTGTTCGATGAATGAAAGTGGTAATTAGGAAAATTAAATTAGCTTGCAAGGATCTATTGAATTGTCTTTATTACATGCATCGTTCGTTCGTAACATAAATCGATCGATTATTTTTAAGAAATGGGAGAAATGGTTATTTTAACGAAATGGAAGATGTAGAACGAAAATAATTTTAACATTGTTCTCTAATATTGTTCCTCAGTTCAAACCCAAGCGTTATTTAGTTTTTTTTAAATATAAATTAAATATTAGTTTTCTATGACCAATTGTTAACCTTTTGAATAAGGCATAGAATAAGCATTGAAATTTTATCTTAAGAAATAAATCATTGGATTAATGATGTTATCCGTCTCGTAGCTCGCAAAATTTATTTCGACGCGTTCGTCCGAGTGATACATTTGTGACGAATAAAAGTGTGACGAGCTTCACGGAATTTCGAATTCACAAATTTGAGCCCTCCATTGAACCAGCCATCACCTGAACAGCTGTGTTTAGTCTCATTCACTCCGCTCGAAGCGCGCGCGGTCTAAGCTCCCGTCATAAATCCTTCGGCGGCTGAATGGCGCCTCGCCATCCACTTTCCACTCTACTTAAAACACGTTGACGATAATATAGTACTTTAAAAGTCAGAGCCAAGGTATCGATCACCAAATGTTCGGCGTGCTAATGAACTCATCGTTAACAGTTTACGTTGCTGTCAAATCTACGGTTATTAAACAGAATCCCATAAATCCTGTGCTTCCACTTTCGAAATACTGTCAGTTAAAACTCGAATACTTTGCCACGTTAACTTCATACTATTTTCACATTATCGTACGTAGAAAGATTTTTAACTGATAATATTTGGAAATGTGATTTTCATTTGAATTTTAATAGACACAAAAGCAATTGATTCCGGGGTTAATATTTTTCCCAGACGATTTGACAGACATAGAAATTAAAATCAAATGTTTCATCGAACGAACTGGATAATGAAAAATAAATGTCTAATATAATATGAAATAAAACTAGAAAATAATCGATTCGTTTAATTACTTTGTTTAACCAGTTAACTGCGTTCGACGAGTACACACGTCATCTTATCTAAACCTATATGTAATTCTTCGTTTCGCTTTAGTTTATCATTAGAACATGTTGTAATTGCGTTCTCCTGCCTTTATTATTTGATTTTATATTCCACAATTAACCCTCGCCTTACAATAACACATTAGACTCGTGAAGATTTCAAATAGAATTTAACAAGCATTAATATTACTCGATTTTGGATTTGAATTAAATATTATTCTTCTTAACAATTATTACACTTGATAGCAAACAGAGCCTAGAATATACCAAAAATTGTTCACTTGTTTCGATGAATTATTAACTGCAAAGTAGTATCGATCATAGTTTGACAAATACATCATTTTAAGAGCATTTCGAGGGTTGCAAAAATTCTGCTCGAATAAATACCGAAATGTAGTTCGCAAGTAGCTCGTAGATCTCACGTTTGCGGAAGGTAAAGTTGATGACTATCGATGTATACGTTTTATTGTTTTCCAGGCAGTTGTCAGGGAGCTAAACAGACTGGGAATGCTAGTGGACCTCTCTCATGTCTCGACAAGGACTATGAGGGCGGCCTTGCAGACGACGAGGGCACCGGTGATTTTCTCTCACAGTGCTGCCAGGGCACTCTGCAATTCCACTAGAAACGTGCCAGACGACGTGCTCAGAAATCTGGTGAGTTCCCGAGTAACCACGTCGACACAGAAACGCCGGGAATATGAAAATGCGGCTGGGACCGTGAAACGGTTAAACCGATTCTGATATTTGTTCGCGCGAACGTTACACGTTTCTTCTGATTTTTTTGCGGGGCGTCCTCGAAATTAGAGAAAGACACTGAAGAGCGTTCGCGTGCTCCGCGAATCGGAGCAAAAGATACACTTTGAACGGATTTCAAACGTGAAACGAAGGGATTTAGTCTCTTTCTCTGAATCTAATGAGTGTCGAGTTAATTGAAATAAATACCTCTTTGACGAGGTTCGACTCTCGCGCGAGCTTCTATAGTTTATTATAGTCACGCTGACAGTAGTAAACATGAAAATTATACAGCTACAAGGTCGTTAATAAGGGAACACGGATAATTGCCTTGAGTAATCTGCTTGCATTCGAAATTTATCGACTCTAAAGTACGATTCTACAGGATCGCGCAAACAATTTATATACGCATAAATATTTATCTCTATAATTACTGACGTAATAACCGAAGGGAAACAGCTATTAAAATCAATACAATGATGATAATTAAGTCCTTGCGTTCCAACCGAACTACAGATATTTATAGCAACACGAGTTCGCGTTAACCGACTTATAAGAAACTAAAATCAAACGGAAATTCGTTTACCAAAGGTTCTATCAGATTTCAAACGGAGAACTTCATTGGACGTTATGAAACTTTTTATTACATTGAACGTTGAATAATTGAGTGTGCAACTTTCGGGTGTATAACTTTTCGGTATATAGTACACGCTTGATTCCGAAAGTTCGCGAACGGAGCTACAATTTTCCGTGAAATATCAATACTTCGTCTTCTCGATTATAAAATATCGCCGTGAACAAGAAGCCACTTTCGTTAGGTTCCGTACTGTTATTTCAGTGTTTCACGGAACTAACAGTACAAAAAAATATCGAATATACACGGACATATTCGTGTTACAACCGGGGATTGAAAACAGTTGGTAATACTCGTTTCGGTTCTTGAAACAGTTACGGGGAACTGAAACAGAATCGTAACTGTTATTAATCCTTTGCACTCGAAGCTTTTTTCACATATTACCAACTCGAAGCAAGTTAGTAGAAAAAGCGTGGTAACGTATAAATATGTAAGTTTGTGCTGAGTAACTGACCAAAAAACTGAGAAAAATTCGTGATTCGTGTATACTCACCTTTACTTCGGGACATAACAGTTAATTATGGAAAACTAGTGTTTAATCCGAACCCAGAATAACCGAGTAACGAAAACTTCTTCACAAGTATGATTCGATATTGTATAACAAGGGATTAACGTCAAAATCTTAAGAAATTGAAAAATGGAGTTAATCGATTTGACGAATAAACAACTCATACGACAGTTTTAAACAGTTCTCTTTGTAACCTCGTCAACTGCTGGTTACAACCCAATAATTTCGATAGATTGCGCCACATAGAAATTTCATTATCAACGTTTCGTTCTCGTTGTAATCCGCAGTTAGTTTACCGCATTAAGTTAATGCCGGTCTGTCAACAGTGGCTCGCCAAACTTTCGTCGGGGGTTGTCCGCGGGCAGCGAAACAACGGGCAAAAGGAGCAACAGTCGGATCTCAATTAGCAAATGAACTAAGCTCGCATAAAAGAACAAGCCGGAGAGGCCACTGTAAAAGAGCGAGGAAAAAGAAACAATGTCGCGGGCGGTTCGTGCTCGGCCGCGGCGGCGGCGGCAGCGAACTTAGGCCGGGCAAAGGAAAAAGCCGAAGGACATGTCGCGAAATGAGGGAAAAAGGAGGAGGGAATTGAAATGAAAGGAGAAAAATCGACGGGTACACTTCGCTTAGGAATACCGCGGTGAAACCTGGCCGAACGAAACAAAGGGACGACTGACTTCCATTATGAATACATTTCGCGTGTCTCTGATTGCGGCACGATACCCTAAATAATTCTGGGTCTCTTTATAAGTGATTACTGCGCCTTCGATCGTCTAGTTCTTAGCACATTGCTAATCTGTAATTTCACGCGGAAACTATCCTGTGTCACCGGTTATTTCGTAATTAAATATGAAAGTGATACAATCTGAATAAACTTCGATATATAGACGTTTACTTGAACGATGTCAATTTCTATATTTTTCGCTGTCAACAAACTTCGTTTTTTTTCAATGTCTTTTCTTTTTTTCCGCATTTATTCAAAACGCATACACGCACGCACGTCCATGAAGTTTACATCAATATTAACCTACGCGTCTACAAATATACTTTATTTATAATAAATTGAAATGAAAGTTCAATGAAATGATACTAATTCTCTCAAGGATGAATCTTTTATTTTTTCAGATAAACATGTAATTCTTTGTTTCGCTTTGGTGTTTCATTAAAATATACCCCAGGTGCCTTCGTCCTGCGTTTGACGAGTACGCACTTCATTTTTTGAATAACAAATATGCTATTTTCATTAGCTATATATACTATTTCAGTTCGCATACTCCAAAATCAGCAAATATTCTTTGTTTTAATTAAACTCAAAGAAAGCACTTTATATCGTTTCAGTTCCATTAAAAAAAACATAATTCTTCGAAGTATCTTCAACAGCACGTGGAAATAGAAACATACAGTTGTATACGAACGATTATAAAAATACAACTTTGCAGTTCCAGGACGAGTGTTCATTCACTTAAAATTTCTTTCCTAATTCAACAAGAAATGCAACAGCACGAGAAGTACTTCCAACATCTATACATTCTAATTGCAGTAAAATCTATCCTAATCGCGTCATTGAAGTCGCCTAATCAGAATAAATAGAAAATTCAGAGAGGACAGTATTTTCCACACAAAACCATCGGTAAGATTCGCTTCTTTTGTGCGCGTCGTCCTTCATCCTCCGGTCTATCGATATCGTGCGCTTATCTCGAACAGGTAGCGGTAGGCGAGCTCGCCGGGGATTCGCTGAGTGCTCATCGTCGGTCCCTAGATACGAGCATTTAATGGGTCCCTACCGCATTTCAGTAGCGCGTTGCATAAGGTTATCTGGAGGCAGCGTTGCAGCGTTGAAGACTATATCAGCCGAGAGCGCTAGGCGGCTTATAAAATTTAACGCCGCGATTGCGGCCAGCTACCACATATCCTGATTGACCGACTGCGGAAACGTGAAACGGAAAGTGGTAAACCGGTCCACGGCTAGTTTTGCTTTCTTTTAATATTCTTTGCATACGTTCGCGCACTTTTATCCGGCGCGACTCGTGCGCGCCGCGCTCCCGGATTGCAGATGGAAACGAAACTGGTTGGCGGAACTCGCTGAAAGATTGAAAAGTCTCTTAACTGGTTCGCCCCACAAATTTCCCGCCATTTTTCTTGAATTGAGTTTTTAACCGCGTCGCCGGTCGCTTGTCCGGCGTGTTCGTTGAACATTCGCGAATGAACGTTTACGAAATAAGGGAAAATTATGTGTATTAATGCAATTCGATAAATGCGAGGACTCTTTTGGTAATTGTTAATTTCTTCTTTTCGCAATTATTAACCCCTTGACTTCTAACAACGCGTCGGACTCGTGAAGACTCGATAAACATAAACATTACTCGATTCATTCGAATTCAAAGGAAATTCTTTTGTAATCAATTATACCGCGAATTGTACTGGAATCAGTTATTAATTCGGCATCATAATTCTTAAGTTATACTATTACTTAGTTACTCTTCTTGTAATTGTACTCGAGTAATTTGGACGCTCCGATGATCGATGACTATCGTGTCAAAGTGTCAATTAACTGATCAGTAGTTCTAGGGCTAAAGGACACATAGATTTTTAAGATATTTTACGATAACTTCACACCGTACTATGACTATCAATTTGATAAAACACAAAAATATTCTCACAATATTATGGGTGCATAAAATTACATAATTTCAAATGGTTCTGTGAATATTGAGATATTTTGTTCGAGATCAAAGTCACGATAAAGATTGAGGTCATCTTTGTGTAACTTCTTAAAGCTTTAATCACGATTCCTTTTCATCGTTTCATTCCGTGCATTGTGAAATAAATGAATAAACAGTTTCTATTCAGAAAAATTGTTACTACGAAAAAAGGAAGCTCACTGTTATTATACTGAAAATAAATCGTGGTTTTGCTATTTATGTTACGCTTTCTGTAAGTTTCTTTGCGTAATTACGCGTCGCTGTTGTAGTTCGCAGATTTGTTCAAAACATTTCTCGTTCCCGGTGTCGAGTATTTCGGGTGTAAGCAGTGGAAAAATTATACCAACGTTTCGCTGACATTGCAGCCGGCTTCATCAGTGGGACGAATGACACGCGGATAGAGTGACACCGTAAAAACGTTGGGATAATTTTTCCAAGAAGTCACGGCTTACACCCGAAAGCCTAAACAGTGGGAACTGTGTAACATGGCGCCGTGAAAGCTGCAAACTTCATAATACTGCACTATAGGGTTTACCAGCAGGGAAAAACAATGTGTACACAAGGGTCCTCGTGCATTGTTCAAATATTTTTTTCATTTATACGGAGAAAAGTCATGATGATGGAAGATTCAAAGAATCAGCTTAAATTATATTTGTTTCCATTGTGTATAAACACTGATAATGGATGTTTAGAAAAATCAATTTAAATTATAATCTTATAAACGAAGGAAACAATGATACCGTACGCATCAATAATTTTTATTTTATGCTGCACTGATAAAACGTCACATAAATATTTCGTTCAAATTTGAAACACGTTTATGTACGCGAATTCTATGGGTGAAAATGCTACGCTCTGTAACTCGTAAAGAATTAATATATGTATATATAGATAAATTGCCCCGAGCCGTCAGTCAATCGTTCAGAACTCCGCAAAACATTGAAGGACGTGCGGTGTGAAATTATTTAAATATAACGTGTTATCGGAAAATTAAATACAAATTGTTTGCAACGAAATTTACGTATCTAAAGTGATTCGTTGCGACTGTAATCGTTCGCAAATATTTTTATTAATAGAA